TTAAATTCTGGGGCTCTTTGTTGCACATAAAATAATTTATCTAACGGCGTTATAATCTTTCTGCCTAAAAATAACTCAGCAGGAGTTTTGCCCGTTGTATCATGTTTTGCGGTCCTAAGGGCGAAAGCAAATTCATTGACATAGTTATCCCAGCTTTTATGAAAAAATTTTAACATAACTACGGATAATTTTCACTATATTTCTATTGACCCGTTCCGCTATATTTGATTGCGGCCGATACGGGACCATTTTAAAATGACGTATGCCCAGTTTTTGGCACATGTCTTCAAATACATTACTTACAAATTGAGGACCATTATCCGATATAACTTTTAGGGGCGCCCCGTATTTTAAAATATATTTATTTAAAATAGAATCAGTAACTAATTTCGCGGAGGCTCGTTTTAAGGGAACAATTTCGGTCCACTTACTAAAATGATCAACCATAACAAGGAGATAGCGACTTTTATTTCACTGACTTTTTGGGAAAGGGCCCAATAAATCGATGCCAATTATTTCATTTGGAAATTCGGATTCAATACTATTTAGAAACCCGGCCGGGCGGAAATTAATATAATTAACTGCTTGACATGTTGGGCAGGACTGGACATACGCTCTTGTTAACTTTTTGCAGTTCAGGAAAATAGCCTGCCTCGCGTACGCGTTGGATAGTTTTTCGAATATTAGCATGAGAAGCTAAAGGGCTGTCATGTAACTCCTGAAGGATATTTAATCTAAGACTAGCTGGGATAACAGGTCGAAATTCGTTGTTGGAATTCGTAGTTTTTGTATAAAATAATAGACCATCTATTAGTTCGTAATGGGCCGCCCTATTTCTTATCGCCACAATATCTTGGTGGCTAAAATTTTCAGGATCCTTTAAATACTCATAAATGCTTTCCAAACTTCAGGATCCTTACCCAGTTCGGTTATTACAGTTTCTCGGGAATTTATTGTACATGCTGTGAGCATTGCCACCTTTACAGTATTACCTTCTTCATCTATTTTAATTCTGGATAGGGCATCTGCTACGATATTTTCCTTTCCGGGGGTATGCTTGATTACCAGATTATATTCTTGTAGCTTGAGTGCCCATCTTATTAACCTTGGGGATAAGTTTTTCCCTGAGTACAATCTAGTTACCGCCGCATGATCAGAGTACACTGTTATTGGCGCCTTTCCAAAATAGACTCGGAACTTTTGCACTGCTAACAGAACTGCAAGTGCCTCTCTCTCGGTCGCGGAATAGTTTCTTTGTGTTTGATTTAAAGTTCGGCTAAAAAATGCCACGGGCTGCTGATTTTGCGAAAGTACCGCTCCTACCGCATAATCCGAAGCATCCGCTGAAATTTCTAAATTCTCATCCTTTTCAGGAAATTTCAACACAGGGGCTTGCGTTAATGCTTGCTTTTAATTTTTCGAAAGCACTATTGGCTTCGGCCGTCCACGAGAATCTTGCCTTTTTCCTTTTTAATTTTAACAATGGTTCAGCAATAGCTGCAAAATCTTTTATAAAGGACCTATAATATGAACAAAGTCCTAGAAAAGAAGAGAGCTTCTTCGCCGTGTTTTGGAGTCGGATACTTTTGTACAGCGATTATTTTTGATTCGTCTGTCTCGATTCCTTTCTGAGATATTTTGTAACCTAAATATTTTAATTCAGGGGCTGCAAATTTGCACTTTTCGACATTAACTTTTAGACCGGCCTCATTTAATAAAGAAAACACCTGTCTTAAATCCTGTACATGTTGGTCGAGATTATCACTAGTAATAATGATATCGTCTAAATAGATAAATGTGGACTTTCCAAGAACAGGCCTTAACACAATGTCCATACATCGCTGAAATGTTGCCGGTGCCCCTGAAAGGCCAAACGGCATACGCAGAAAATGCATAAGTGCCAGACTTGGTTATAAAAGCAGTCTTAGGCACGTCCTCAGGCCTAACCCCTATTTGAAAATAACCAGTCGTTAAGTCTAAAGTCGTCATATATTTGGTAGACGTTATGTTCCTTAGAATTTCTTCAATAATAGGTAACGGATATACCGGATATTTAGTTATGGAGTTTAATTTACGGTAGTCAATCGCGAATCTCCACCTTTTTGGATGTGTCAATGGATAGTCATTATTTTTCTTACATAAAACCACCGGGCTAGCATAACTACTTGAGATGGGCGTTATGATCTTTTTACGTAGCATATCGGTGAATATGCCATTCTATAATTTTTTCCTTATTCTTATCATACCGGTATGCTTTGTGGCGAACTGGCATTGAATCTCCGGTGTCAATACTATGGTTATACTATGGTTAGTAACCTGAGTAAATCCTGGAATATCACTAAATAACGAAGCAAATTCACTTACCACTTGTCGGATTCTTCGTTGCTCTTCATTAGGCAGGTGGTCAAGGTTTTTAACATCGGCGGTTCAGCCTTTTCTTCTCGAACTGGTTTCATCGTCAGCTTAAGGGACGCTTCATTAAAATCCAGCGTTGCTTGTGCCTCTGAAAGAAAATCTATTCCTAAGATATATATGTGCTTGCAGATTCTTTACTATAAAAAACATAACCTTTACTTGTTCGTCCTTGATACGGATGTATATATAGCGGTAATTTACCTATGCACTTACATCTTTCTCCTTGCGCAGCTAACACTGTCGTATTATCCGAATTATATATGCGGTATTTACGAAAATACTTCCTAAAAAAATCTTCTGCCACACAGGAACACTGCGCGCCTGTATCCAGGAGTGCGGTGGCTGGGATATTATTCACCAACACTTCAATCTTCGGAAGAGTCAAATTTTTCACCATTACTGTATTTAACTTGAAGGAAGAGGGGTTTTCTTGGCCTTCGGATTTCCGCACCCTCCCGTCAGCAGAAATCCGTTTTAGTTTAAATTTTTTTTCTTTCCATGCTTTCCTTCTTTTTCCACTGGCCTTGAGACTTTTTTTCCTGGATTGCTATTGAATTGTCGACGTTCGCCGGCTGTTTTTGAACGCTCGGGTTTCCTTGCCCATTGATTCGCTTTGCTTCCGTTGCCGTGTGCTTGAGTTTGCTGTGGTCCTGGCGCACCAAATTGGTTTCGCTGTTGATATTGGAGTCTTCTCTCAATGTCCGCCGTTCTTCTACTTTCAAACTCGATTGCTAGCTCAAATAACTTTTCCAGTGTAGTCGGATTTCTTAATTCAATAAAGTCTTGCACTTGGGGAAGTAACCTCGGCAAAATCACTTGAATTATCTCAGGATCCGGACGGTTTCCATACAAGAGTTTGAAGACGTGAATTTTTCTTAAAATAAAGCTTGAGAGATTTTCGATTCTTTGCTGATATATGCTGAAAAGTTCCGTTTCTAATTTCGCACGATCCCTTACGACAGGGAAGGCTTTTACTAGGGCAGTCTTGAAATTTTCGTAAGTATAGGTGGGACTTCCTGCTTGACCCAAGAGACTTCTGCCTATACATTTGAACCAATTAAGCGCTTGGCCCCTCAAAGCGCTGGTAGCTAAGGTAACTTTTTGAAATTCGTGCACGGGGTAGAGCATGAAGTGATGAAGTGGTCATCCAATTTTTCCAAAAAACTGGTTACCGGTGAGTTTCCATTAAATGTTGCTTCTGGTTTCATCGAAGCGCGCATGGTCTGGACGATGTAACCAAATCCTTCCAGGGCGGCAGCTGGCATTTCTGGATTCTGAGCCGCTTCTGCAGGCAGCACAGGTTCTTCTTGAAACTCGGCCATGGTTATTCTTCTTCGTTGGGCGCCACTATCAGGTTCAATGTTCCGTCTTACTTTCTTTGGGAACATGCAAGGACCTGACTCGGAACAGGGAGCTTACTAAAGCTATGTTCAATAACTGTGGGAAGTAGACAGACAGATACACAAGAAGGGTATACAAAACCCTTTATTTTTCTCTCTTTACAATAATTTCCGTACTTCGGAATACAGAGACCAACTACTTGTGGTCTGAACGTAAGAATATAAAAAATATAACTAAACTCTAACTTAACTTTGGAAATAATAAAAACGTGGAAGATTGGCCTTATATTAACAGGAAGCCGTATGTAGTACAGAGAACTGTTAACACTACAATACGTTTAAAATTATCAAGAGGATTAAACCTCTGGCCTGGAAGGCAACCAGCAACTGAGTAAAACTTCTAAGGTAAGCGGCCTGCTTCGACTAACTCCTTCCTCTCTCTCGGTTGGCAAAAAGCCACAACTTAAGTACTTGGCGTTCGCCAGACAAATTTTGCATAAATAAGTTAACGCTTTTAATTCTGGCCGGAAGTAGAAAATAAGAAGTGATAGTAAAGATTTAAAATAAAATAAACATTAGTAAAATTTAAGATCCTTACAAGGGGAACTGTCTCGTATTTACGTTATGCATAGAGAAAACCAAAAGAAACCTTCTGATTAACAAGCCCACTCGCTAGGACTTGATGAGAGGTTAAATTACCAGTTTTCAGCGGTTTTTACCGCTCAGCCACTAGTGGGCTAATATCTGAAAAGGACATTGAGATTCTTAAACTGTCGCAAAGCATAAAACTGAGCTTGGGTGGCTGGATACAAATTAAATATATTATTTATTTTAGCGGGTTCTAATTGTCCTATAAGAAATAAGCAGAATGTTTGCGAAAACTTCCTTAAAAACCAAAAAAAAAAAATCATCCGGTTTGAGTGACGAAAAACCTGTGCTGTTGTTATTTCAAACCGCTACGTTTCGTAATTTCGTTAATTATTTTAATTGAATGTAAGGGGTTTTCGAACCAAAGTATAACAGAAAGGTTTTTTTTTCTCCGGAACCATCCCAAACTACGATATAATTTCCCATCATATCAAATTTTCTTGAATTAAGCAATTACTGCAATACTTTGTTTTTACCATGTGTTTATTTTTTCTTTCAGTGAGCTGATAATTCAGTCACTGATCGTAATAGTGGTTTAAAATATAATATTTGCTGTAATTGGTTTGTGATTTCAATTACTTTACGCATCTTCTGCAGATGTTCAAAGAGTTCGAGCTGGAGCCTCACCAGGAATGTGCGTATGATCGTATCGTCGCATTTGACGGAGACAACGATATGTCACCTACATTGGGCAAGTTTTGTGGCAGCAAAGTACCACACCCTATCCTAGCCTCGGGTAATCGTATGTTCCTTGTTTTCAAGTCTGACGCCTCTGTGCAGAGGAAAGGATTCAAAGCCACTCATACAACAGGTGTGTCTGAATTCCCCTCCCCCATTTTATTTCTATTTTGGAAGTAATTCGGATTTAATTATTTTCAATTTCTGCTTTGATGTTGGTAAAATTTTATTCTTTAGTTTTGTTTAATGGTTTTAGTTTTGGTAACTTGTAGCAAAATTTAGGAACTTGTAGCAGGAACCTGGCCTTCAAATATTTACGTAATTTTAATAATTTATTTTTTATTTAATTTGAGTGTGGTAAAGCGCATTGTACATACTGATGGTAAAAATTAAATAGTATTGATAGAAATTAAACTTAACTGTTACTTATGAAAAAAGAATTAAAAACAATGTTTACAAAAGTGTTATTTAATATAAATTACTTTATATCTCAGTTGATTAATAACAATATATTCAATTGAATGTGAAATTTATGAAATTTTTAAAGTGGTGTTTCCTGTTTTGCAATAAATCTTTCTTTAATATTGTCTAAAATTATCTCTCACCGAAAGGCAAATCTATCATCACGATTTCAAAAAATTTACAAATCTTATGATCAAGTCTTTTGACACTGCATGCCGCTCTTCTGAATGTGCACTTTTGAAATCCTATATAGTGTCCGGAGAGGTAAATGGCAATTCGATGGCCAAGGCATCCCATAGGGTTTAGGGTGGTTAATCCATTCCAGTGATAATATCTGTTTTTAGGTATTCTAACGTCAGAAATACTCGATGAAGAGAAGCTTCGTCCACCTATCTCTGACTAATAGATTATCATCCATTAGGAACTGATCATAGATGTGTGGACGAAGTTCCAAGATTTCGTCCACCTATCTCTGACCCATAACAGAACCTGTATCAAGGATGCAACTTAACGCGTTGATTTTTTTATTACCCCCCCCCAAAAAAAAACCGTAAAACAGCGGTCTTAGAAACAGGTCCATAAACAAGAGAAAGCTGGGGTTTTATCTCTGCCTCCAGATAAAATGCATCTAGAATCGCCATTCAGGCTATATTTGGACTGTCAGTAAAGACTACATGGTTTCATTCCTCTTGGCAACATTGAAAATGACAACGACTGCACCTCAAACTGTCCCTTTTTGGAAGATGGATTGAGTGGGACACAAACCACTGGTTATCCCGCATAAAATCTAAAGCCTTCTTGCAACAGTAGAATGGCCGATTCGAGTTTTTGTGGCAGTTAAAATACCTAAAACGAACTTTCTCGTAGTCGTTTCACAATTACTTCGAGCATCAGTTACAGGAAATGGTCTTCGAATGCAGTTGTTGTTCGTGGCCACACTTTTCCAGACCGTCTACTAATTAATCCACTGCTTAAAAACGCGTTTACAAGTTCTTGATATGACACTTTTGAGAGATATTCAGATCATGGGTGAGCTCTGTTCTACCATCCTTGAGTTTGTCCCCCCTTCTTGAGTCTACCAGTTAACCGCCACCTTTGCCCAGACGGTATAGTGGTTAGGAGAACCTACTGCAGTACCGAAGTGCCCAGGCTCGAGTCCTAGCGGGCGCGAGTCCCAGGTGGACGCAAATGAGTTGAAGATGAATAAAGGATAGGGTCCCTTCAACTTGAAATGTTACGCGTATTTTGTGAACGGCTCTAGTTCCAACGCCAATAAACAGTTTCGCTGATCTGATGCAACGATGAAAAAAATCTCTTCACTGCTTTGGCGATTATTTTGAAGGAGATAAATTTATTTGAAGATTAATACATTTTTCGTATGTATAAGAAACTGTCCAAATATTTTATGGGCGCACCTTGTAGATCGTTCTTCTGTGCAGCATGTCCATGAACTCTGTTAAGTAAGGAAACAAGTGGTTAATGATCGGTTTCACGTTGCTGCTTATTCCTCCATTTTGCTGATCCGAAAACGTAGCAATCTCAGGTTCGAAGTTGACATTGAAAAGGGAATAGGAAGCCATTCTTACTTTCCCTTAGCCTTTTCCCCTTCCCCCTCCCCTTGAAAAAAAAGAGAGAGAGAACATTAATAATAAAAGAAGTAAAAATCTCATCTCTGTAGAAGAATTCGGAGTTATCATATCCTCGCAAAAACCAGAATCATAGGTAGTATTTTTGACGATATATATGGATGGATATCTTAAAACGAACAAGTACTAAACTTTATAAATAGGCAAAAATTAAAATTAAGTCAAGAATGAATAAAACTGAAGTAAACTAGTGTTGGCAAAACAGAAGAAATTTAAAAGCTAATTAAATTACGCTTAAAAATTAAATTAAATTAAGAAAATTATGTTAATATACATAAAAGTTTACGACCATTGTTTTTTGACCACTCAAGAAATGTTGCAACCACCTGAATAAATGGTAATCATAGGATGTAACGTCAGTCGAAACGTTGGTCTAGATAGCACCTTCTATCCAAATTTTCATAGAACCTTTTTCGAAAATGTAGTTTTTCGTTGTCGTACTGTTGAATAACGCCTTTTCTGTTAACAAGCGTTGGATAATTTTCAGTCCTTTTCAATTGGTTTACTTGATTTAACTGTCAACAATAAAAGTCTCCAAATATGATCTGATTCGTTCTAACACTCAAAATGGACTTCCCCGAACACTCCGCCAAATAGACAATAGTACCTTTCTAAGCGTAAGAATGGCTTTTATCTAGCTAATGGAGTTTATCAGGAGAGAGAGCCACTGTCTTTTATGTTTGGGAATAAATGTCCCATTGTTTATGTCCAGTCACAAATGAGGAAAAAAATTATGCGTCATGTCGCGGTAGCAGCAAATTATAGGTAATAATTGGATGATTAGTTTTGTTTTCTTCTGAAGAGTGTGTGGAACCCAAACACATTCTTTGCTAGCATAGCCAGTCTGCTTCAAATGCTTCTGAATGGTCGACAGAAGTGTATTAAGCTTATCTGATAACTCTTTTATCATTTATCAAGGATTTACTCCCACTTCTTCCCATACCATTGTGCCGCCAGATGAGTTAGTGGTTGGTGATGACAGCCAAAGGGCCCGGGTTCGAATCCTGGAGAAGACATGGATGTTTGTAAATATACAGTGTCTGTGCGGCGTGGGTGCACTCGAAAGATAAGCTGAGCTGAAAGTCCTCTCGAGTGGTTTGGTGACAGAGAAAGAGAGGTAGAAGAACCTTAGACCCGTCCCCCAGGAAGCTTTCTTTCAAAATTGGGGAGGAACTGAGCAAAGTCGTACTGTCTCCTGTAGGTGCTCAAGGCTCATGCCAAGAACAAGCGCAATTTTACACCCCTTGCACGATAAAATCCATAGGTAGACAAGTGAGATTAGTAACAACAAGATCAGCAAATACCATTATCAAGAGACACTGGTCTTCCAGGCGATGCATAAAGATAAAATTACCCGATGTGAATCTATCAAACCACTTTTGGCATTTAAAGATATCTAATACGACTGCATAAACGTTACAAATGTCTTTTTTTAGCTTTTGTTGCATTTTTACCTTTAAGAAACGCGAACAACATGCCGTGTCGAATACGCAACTCTTCTGGTTTTTCACTCGGCATTTCAAAGAGATGTGATAAAAATGAAACTCACTTAAAAGGCAAAGGCGAAGAAGTCTCCTTCAAAAATATCTTGCGCAACATCAGTGTATGCAATCACCTGATTGCTATTAAGCACATGTTGATATGCGCAAATATGACATTTCTTTGCAGTCCCCCTTATGAAAATGAATTCTCAACAAATGCTTCTTGACTAATTTACGAAACTTAATTTTCCTGATACATTTCTGCGAATACGTGTATCATATTAAATGAATGTCTTTTAAACTCAGAAAATGTTTCCATTTAATGTTATACATCTTAATTAATTTGCCTTCATATCCGGTGAGATTTACTCAGTGAACACAAACAGAGATGTGAAATACATTGCTCCCCCGTATCTTTTAATTTAACTTTATTTCATAAATTCAAAATTGAGTTTCTTTCAACGGATTGCAAATGTACCTTATCTCCCTAAGGCTTAAGTATATCCAAGAATGTGCGTTAAATTTCGTAACGTGACGTCGATGGCGAAATCGTTAATGTATCGCAATTCCTAATTTTGAATTAACTTCAGTGGAATGTTGCATCACGTATTTGTTGACATGCTTCTTGAATGCTTTCAAAATACTTGAAGGTTTTTAGAAGTATACCTTGTCTTCTCGTAATATGGGAATTAAAAAGTAAAAATTAGAAGTTGCGAGAATTTCAAGAATAATTTGTTTGCATTTCATTAGACGCTTAGAAAATTCAGATTTGTTTATATTTCTGCGTAAAAGAAATTCCAGGTTTTCTTAAAATATAGTTGTTTTAAAAAGACAAGATTTACATATATATATATATATATATATATAATTAACAAGCTAGGTAGTAAGTACAATACTGAAAGACCAATTTGGTCAAAAAATATTTTGCGCAATATGCTAATTTCTCGCATTTCTGAACCATTCGATACGGAGCTGAAGTTTGTAATTTCTTTCATATATTATTTTATATTTAATAATGATATGTGCTTTTTACTTAATATTCTGCATTGTAATATACATTCTATAATACACTTACATATTCAATACTTAATAATACAGAATACATAAGTGAAGTTATCTTAGGTATCTTTATTAAATTTATAATCTTCTAATTATACCATTCTAAACTTTTCGTAAGATTTAACATCACACTATCACTATCTCTTCTTCTAACCGGCACATTATCCATTTGGATGAAGGATTCCCAACCTTTTTCTTACATCGACCCTTTAAAATATATATATATAATATATATATATATCATCTAACCTCTTACATTTTTCTCAGTAACATATAATATGCAACATAAAGTATGCAACATAATACGAATAATTGCCCATAAATAAATTAACGATGACAATTAATCTTAAAATGAACAAATGTTTTGAAAAAAATAATTTATTGAATTTAAGGGATTTATTTATTTTTTTTTAATTATTATTGTTTTTACTTTTACAAATGTGAACTAGTTTTCCAAGAACAAAATCACAGATTCTATTCTTTAG